CGACTCTACTGGATTCACTCCCGCGATGCTGTGTTTCGGACGTGAACTGAAGCCTCCCTGTGCCGTCCGTGGCCTTTCGCTTGAGGTGTCTGAAACTCCCCAGGGTCCCTCGTTAAGTGAGACCCATCGCAAACGACTGGATGAGTTTCAGCGTCTGATCGTGCAGACACACAAGAACCTCAAGGCTGCCTACGAGAGGCAATCAACATATTATAACCTCCGTCGTAGGGAGGTGACTCACGAAGTTGGCGCGCAGGTGATGAGAAGACTTCACATCCTGTCTTCCGCTGCGGACGCCATCGTAGGGAAATTAGCACCAAAATATCATGGCCCCTGCATTGTGGTCGGTCGTCGAGGTGCTAATCTCTACGAGGTACGAGACGAGGATTCTGCTGCGGTACACGTCGTGCACGTGAAAGACTTAAAACCTTTCTGTGCACGTGACTAATATGCAAGGATCCCGCAACCGCAGCAACGTCTTGCGATCCGTTTGTTCGTCAGTCCTTTCAGCCACGTCAAGCTGCCGACAAGCAGCCATAGATAACCCTCGTCTGGGGGGTGACGTATCATCGTAAACAGCTCTTAACCGCGCGTCCGAGACTCCGAGCCTGCCGTGCTACCCTACCTTCGTCAACCCCACGCCTACTCTTCACCTTTGGTTACTTTTCGCCCCGATTCGTTTTGGCAACTCGGCCTCAGACTGTCTACATCATTTGTAACTTCGTCCATTTTTCGTCGTCAACACCCTGGAGCCGCCGGACTAACGGGGTCCGGCATCAGCTTCTGTCAACTTTTCTTGCCCACGATCCTACTGATGATGTGTCACCTGCAGGAAAGCTCAACAGCTTTTTTTCTTTTTCTCGTTTTTCTTTTTTTTCGTTCCGAAGTGTGGAGGGGGTGTAACGAGTCAAATGTGTAGGGGGTAAAATAACGGCGAAACCACGAAACTTAAACAGCTGAATGTAAGCTGTTGTTGTGCCCTAGTCGCGACGCTAAACTGACATCGCACCTAACCTCCAATTCCAAGACAGCAGACGACGTTGGTGTCAGTTTGGTTGTTTGGCTGTTCGACTGCATCTGAGGCCGGGCTACGGGAGAGAAGATGAGCAGCGAGGTCACCTTTGAGCGGTACGCGGCTGTAAGCCTGTTAAAGCTGCCATGCGCCTGCCTTCGCTGCCAGTTTTTTTTTGTTTCGGTAACTCGTTGACCAATCAGGAATCGTTTTAACTTTCGTCTCGATTCTGAGACGAAGGTGAAGTAAGAAGAAGTTTTGTGAAGTTTTGGTCATTCGTATTCCCGGCTTTTGAAGGATTCGCTAATACGTCTTTTCGTCTTCGATTTGAAGAGTTTTGTTCTTTTTCGCTCGTCGCTTAAAAGTTCGCCTACATTAAGTATTCGTGGTGCATCGAGTGTGCTAAAAGTGTTTTACTGTAGTATTGCTTCGTTTGGTAAGTTGTGTAAAACTAAGACAACTTAGGTTTTTCTTTTGTCACTTGTGTTTCGGCAGAACTTTGTCGAAGTTCCTAGGCTAGGCCTGATTCGCAGACCTCGTCATACGCTTTAACCAACTCATTTAATTAAAGTATCGGAGTTGGTGACAGATCATTTTCGCTTAACGTTTCTTAATCCGTCTTGGGACTTTCTTTTAATTTTTAAAAACCCTTTATAAAGTTCCCGAACGCCCCGAAGTTGGCCCCAGCAGACAGGTTTCTGCTTGATAATTATTGCAGAAGTTTGCTTAAGTTGAACACGTGGGGAAGTTGAAGTTTTAGTTTTTCTTTTTTTGTATCAGCTCTTGAAGCAGTTTTATTTTTAGTTTCAGTTTTTCTCCCGTTTCGTGTCTCACTTGGACAACTTAAGCCAACTCGTTTTCTTGTCTAGTAAATTCAGACTCTGTGGGAGTTAGGCTAGGTTAGGCCTATCTTGTACTAACCTTGTTTGTTTCAGGGTGACGACGTAACTCCGTAGGTAAGCGGAGTGCCTACTTAGCTTACTTGTGGATTCGTTAAATTAGCTAGTAGTGTGTCATTTAGATATTTGCCCACAGAGTCAAGTCAAAATTATTAATTTCCCCACAAGCCCTAGGCTAGAGTGGTGATTTCGAGTAGGGTGTTTAGTAACCCGCAATGTTCGTCTCGAGCTCTGACAACCAGGGCTATCAAAGTTAGGCTATCCGAATCACTATCGACTCCTGGGAAACTCCCCGCGACCAGACTAGGGCGAATCCTGGGATCTCGTTTTCTTACCGGTGGCGTAATTTACCTCTTGTCGTCCGCCAGGAAAATTACGTCACACATCTACTTTGTCAAACTTTTCAACAAGACATTTTATCATTTAAGGTGAGAATTGGGTGGGTAAATAAAGATCACAAGCCAAATTATTACCAATAATTAGGTAAAGAAATTTGTAAACGTCCACCCTTGTTATTTTTATGATTTTTTAAAGTTTGAATATCAAACAACTTGAATCTACTTCAAATTTATATTTTACAAAAAGTGCATTTTATTGTCATTTTATACGTTGACCACACCCTTCTATTATGGCCAATACAAACGACCGTCGTTTTATCAACTTTCCGCCCGACGACGCCCACAATGTCATAAAGTCTGTGATGTAGCAACCCGTTTGTTTACTGTCGTCATTACGATACCACAAATCGAAATGTGGTTCAAAATGTTTACGTTCAGATTGAGATGTAAAATCGCATCACAATGGATCCGAACAGTTGTAAGAATTTTCTAACTTCCCAATCATCTCTATTCTCGAGAGTGACTTCGTTAGCTATTCTGTGATCACCTTTCTGAACTGGGAAGGTTAAATTTTAGTTCATAAATTGGGGTTTAATCAGTTTTAAACTCTACATAGCACCCGAAGAGATAGCAATATCAAAGCAATATCTAAAAACCTAAATTATAACATTCTTGAATCTTTGAGACTGCTTCTTGATGACTTCGTAACTATTCTCGCAACCGGGAGAAGATGATTCAGCAGGGTTGGGCTCACCAAACCAGCTTCCTCTAGTAGGATCTCTCGCAACCAAACTTGCGCTAACGAGGAAATCTGTCATTTATTGCCTCCCTACGATAGCAGGGGATACCATTCCGGCGACCCGTGCGAGCAGTGTCACACTTCACCGTGGACTATTTTTACTCTTGAGGGATCTAGAGAAGGTAAACGAATTCCACCTCATATCTACAAAACAACATATCGACGTGATTGTAAACTTCAACCTCATTTGATATGGACGAGGTGTTAGCACTAGCAGTAAAAGTGAACGTGGAGATGCGAGATTGTCTAGTACACCTCGACCTGCGGGACTCATGGAGGGTTACATGGTTACACATTGCATCACTGATGCGTGCAACGCCTCATGTTATTGTAATGACCGATCGCGCGAAATCGTGCGCGTCTTCGCCGAGTAATTGAGCCTTCTGTCGTTTATGGGGATTAAAAAAGGTCGGAGACGTTTCCGCGTTTACACACCCACGCGTTCGTCACGACCGCGCGTTCACATCACCGTCGCATCTCACCTGTCGCCGTTGTAGGATGTGATGGGGTTTGGAGTTTGTGTAATCGAAGCAGAATGGTGTAGAACCTGACAAAAGTCTGTAGTTCTGTTTTGTCTATTGCATACGCCTGTGGCATTTTCAAGTTAGGCTATGTACACTGTATGGCAATAAAAACTCTATAGGAGCAAGCGGTCCAAACCCTAATGTTTTAAACAAACCAACAAACCCATCCCTCTCTTACTGAAGTCCGAGACGCTAACCACTGGCCTAGCAACACACCCGACTTTACAACACCACTGAGCTAAAATTATAACTGGAGGTAGCACTGCCATGGCAGAAGTCTGTCAAAAGCGAGTCGCTGATTTTGTTAGGTTGGTATAGCAGTAAGTTTTCTTACCATAGCAATAACATGGCTTCTTATAACTAGGTTGGTATAGCAGTGAGTATTTTTGTCATACTTGAATACTTTTAATACTTTAATAATTTTCTTTGAAATGGCGACCATACAAAGTAGGTATTTTAAGCCAAGTATAATAATAGCCATAGCAATAATATGGCTTCTTATAACTCACACCTCACGCAAACATGGCGGCTGGCGACACGCATCTTTGACATTCAGTGCTACCTCCAGTTAGAATTATAGCTCAGTGTACAACACACTTCACTTTTTGATGGTTTGAAACTGGGCACAGCTGCCCTTGATCATTGGGCTGTTAATTGTTAATAGTTCTAGTCAAAGAAACAGCTGGTTGGGTTTCAATAATTCGTTGGTGTATCATGAACAATTTTCACGAACTTTTGGAATTACAATATTTTTTCCATTTGTCATCGTGATGTCGTTATGTAAGATGTGGTCAAATCGGCAGTTTTGTGCTCTAAAAATTGAATGATGTTGGTTGAGTACCGTTTTAAACGGTTCATGACTTTTGAAAGCATAATCAAACTCAACCGAGTCAGGCGAATTTTGAGAGTTCGTGTACTTGGGAAGGTTTTCGGTAAAATTACCGGATGATTTTATTTCATAGGAAGAAGAGTAAACAAGTAATCTAAAACAATACATGTTAACGTTCCTTAGTTAGGTAGACGTCGTATAGAGTATTTACAGTTTGTCTTCATCACAGCCAAATTTAAGACTAAGAATTACTGTTTTGACGATTTTGAAAGTTTGTATTATATTTTCATTAAGAGCCCTCGATCCACTCAAAGATTGCATGAAAACCCATCAGTAAAGCGTACGTTAATAATTCCATTTCCATAAAAAAATTTTATCGTAAAAAACAGTTATATTTAGTAAATATTTGTCTCCTTGAAGTGTTGAACGTCCAGGCTTCTGAATGATATTGTCCTCCAATGTTTATACTTTATGTTTTATTGTTTGAACTTTAGCCTCATTAAGACCGACAATGGTTTAAGTTTTTTTAAACTATCATAGGTGTATTAAAAAGTAGTCGCTTTTCAATAATGTTGAAAATATATATATTTAATTTCCAGGAGGACATTGGCCACCCGTACCAGGACGAGCTAAGACAAGCTGCGATTTTACTACATAGAGATCCTGGAGACAATTCTCTACTACTGGTACGTACATAGTACCATAGAATGAACATACTGTGCCTCTTTTTTTATGTACCATTCTTATGGATAAGTTAAAGACGATGAGTGTGTATGTGCAGTAACTTTTCCATGTGTATATAATTTGCTGCTTCGGAAATTGGACGTCAAGCCTAATATGTTTTCCATTCATTTCCATCTATGGGCAACATAATTTTACATGAGTTTATCTTTATTATATTTTATTTCCTTGCGAATATAATTGGCTCCTTCGAAAATGTAAACGCAAAGTCAATTCATTAATGCATAGCTTATACCATCTGTAAGAATGAAGGAGCCAATACCTAAAATCGATGCTAATGGAAAATGTACAATGCATTTTTAATTGGTTATTACTAGTTATACCATAGAATACTGGTTTATTAGGAGAATAAATATTGGACAAGGGATTATAAATAAATCAAAGTAATCCGAAGTAACCCCATCACTTAAAATAATTTAGGACTGTGAGTGTTTTTGTACTTGTATTTTAACCTCATCATAATGCTCCTAAAAATTGTACCGGTATTATTTTTTAATAGATTTTATGTAATAACTGTTAAGTAGTAGATGGTGGATTAGGTGTCTAATCATTATTAGGAAATCAATCAGAATCAGATATTCATAGGAATCAGTTGATCATGATTCAGTATTACTCCATTCCTTATACACAGTGATATAATGATTAAGTGATATATGCTTGGGTTGTTAGTGTAATGCTCCCGGATCTTAGTCCAAGTTTCGATTTATAAGATGAGCATCAAGTTACTTCAAGGGCACTCTTGTAGTTAGAAAGTACAGGAGAAGTTCAAGGCTAAGCTTGCATAACTTGCAGATCTGTGGACTTGATTATTTAACAATGCTTTAGAGCACTAATCTTCATGACTTAGTGTTTCTTACTTCATAAAACAGGTAAAGAATTTGATTTGATAAAATGTTAGATTGTGGTTAATTAGTGATGTACACCACTACAACTACATTACCTTGCTGTTTACCACTTTGGAATATAATTTATTTTTGTTAAAAAAATACAACCGACTTCAAACGCTCTAAAAAGAATGAAATAATTTCAATAAAGTAAACTTTTGTATTAGGCAAGCTCACGTATTTTAAGTCGGCGCGGCTCTATGATGATTTTTGATACAAAATTGAAAGAGGGTGTCCATATTGCAGGTGACTCTAAAGGTGTTAATCTGCATGTCTTTTTCATAGTTATGCGTTAAGTGTTATTTTATTACCGTAATCAGAGATCGGCATTATAGTGGTATTAACGAGTATCTTTAAAAAGATTATAACGCATTTAAATGTTTCTAACTTGGAAAAGTAACGTTTTAATACTAAACTAGCTTCTTTTCCCTATCGTAATATCAAACTAAATTATTTTCCTATTCATATAGAACATTTGTGTGTGTTATTTTCATAATGCATTTATTCTGAAGTAAACATAAAATAGAAGAAAATATTTCCTTTAATATATAAACAAAACAGTTCAGTATGTTTTTTTATATATTTATGTTATCCAGCTACAATTTATTGATTTTCAAAATACACACACAATATTTAATTTCAATCATATTTGCAGTTTGAGCCGCGCCGACTTGAATACGTGAGCTTGCCTAATACAAAAGTTTACTTTATTGAAATTATTTCATTCTTTTTAGAGCGTTTGAAGTCGGTTGTATTTTTTTAACAAAAATAAATTATTTCAAGATTTTTAGTGACTGTATATTTTTTTATATATTAATTACTTGAAGTTTTTTTATTGATAAGCAAAACTGTTTGAAACAATCAAAAGTTCCACAGAACAATCATAATTTTAAAACTGCTTGAGTCACCTGTTCAGGTTACATAATCAATGGGTATGAAAATAAACATTTTTAGATATTCCTTAAGAAAGAAAGAGTTGTCCATTACATTAGGCCTAATGAAAAACTAATTGTCTTTTCTAGATACATTGAAATGTCAGACATCATCGTTTCCTGCAATCGGTGTACTTCTACATTATAAAAAGAAATACACTAACGTCTCAAGCCTTTTGGAACAATATGAAAGTTATTCCTCAGCTACCAGCACTAAAAAATCTCTCAAAAGTGGAAAATTGGTCGTTAACACGTATAGTACCTTTTGGAAAATATTATATGAAAGATTGGTTCAGCTAAAAATGGTGCAAGTCATATAGGGGGTTTTGTTTGCTCAAGATATAGCCTAGTCAAAATTGCAAATCATCTTCATCTAGGACTTTCCGAAGCAGGCATAATAGTATTGATATGTTATAGTAACTGGGTAGAGAATATTAATAAACATTCCACATCTGCAAATTAAATATACGTATATGAAAGATTGGTTCAGCTAAAAGTGGTGCAAGCCATGTAGGTGGTTTTATTTGATCAAGATATAGCCTAGTCGAAATTGCAAATCATCTTCCTCTAGGACTTTCCGAAGCAGGCATAATAGTATTGATATGATATAGTAACTGGGTAGAAAATATCAATAAAGATTCCACATTTGCAAATGCATGTTTAGTAATTAAAATATTTAACACTTTTAAGACAATTGACGATTATGCACTGTCACACTTCTTAGGTCGTGTAAGGAATAATTGCATTTAATTTATATTTAGACCTGTTTTACGAATGCTTTGGTTTTCACAATACACCTTTATTTGTCAATATCATACAGCTATTCACTGAAACATATATGTTTTTGTAAGTCAGAATATTCAATACTAAAAACAGAATTACTGTATACACAAATCAGGTCAAACGTTAAAATACATTTTTTATAGTAACAAAAACAAAATGCATTTTTCTCAATGCTTAGGCTACATGGCAAGAAATAGTTTATAGATCATTATGAAGCAACTGTTTCATGAAGAATTGTCTTTAGCTTCATTTAAATGGTTTCAACTAACAGCTGTAGGAATGTTATTATTATTTATTGCCTTCTCTGCACAAATGTAAACAATCTGCACAAATGTAAACAATCTGCACAAATGTAAACAAAATAAATGTTGAATATTTAAGGTTTTCAGAATTTTTCACCGAAACGAATATTATACTTAAACTTAATATATAAGGTACCAAATAGAAAATCTCCTGGTTATTTTGGTGGTAGAACCACACTGATCGGTAAAAGAATCACAGAGAAATTGGTGAACATACATAGAAAAAAAAACATCGCCACAAACAAATTGAGAACCTCCTCCTTTTGTTGGTAGTGGGGAAGTCGGTTAAAAATACCAATTTACTTTAATGATTTAATGACTAAATCAGACATGTTTTTAATGTCACAACCTAACAATTAATAAATACTTTTCACATATTTAATGATAATATTGAGAAAGCCACGTTGACAGTGGTCTGTTTGTTTGTAAAGAACTTGCAGTTGTTTGTTAGTTTTGTAAGTAGCTTTGTGAATACATATTTGAAACTTTGTAAAAAAAATGTTTTTGTCATAATTTATGGTCAACATTATACCATTATATGTTGTTTGGAATAAAGAACTTAGGTGTACCAAAGTCTTCTGATGGATACAAAATGTAAGCTGTGAAAACTTTAGTTGAAGTAAGAGTTTCACGATTGGTTTATCACCTAACTATCCCTAACGCTAACAATAATATTTGAAAGGTAAAAGGATATTGCATTTGACTACTTTTGCTTCAGAAACAAGTTTTGAACCCTATTAAAATGCACAACTTGTGCACGGATCCCCTCGTAATAACTATTCTCCATAGAGATAGTTGCTAAAACCAAAGAGGTATCACTGGACTTGGCTAGCTCCTGGCAAAAGTATAATATATTTCATCTTCATATCCTACCCATGTTTTGATCAGATGGTTTAAAATGTTACGATATATCTTAATCAATGCCAGTACATTCATAAAACTAAGCGAGATCAGGTATTAAAAATGCATTATACGTGTAAAAACTACTGCATAAAAAACTTGAAACAGATACATAAACTGTTGTTTAAAGGCTAAAATTATACCCTTTTCCAGCAATTTGGGCTTCAAATTTCACATCCATGCAATAGGTAAACATGATAAAAGGCGGACTAAACTCACAAAGTTTTTTTTACTAACTAACGCCTTCTTTCTTCAGGAGGGGACGATAGGCGAGGACCTGGTGGTGAAGCCAGTGCCTGCTAGTGTGAGACAACACCTAGACTCCAGGCCGGACCCTGAGGCGAAGGATGTGGACGACGAGGCGTTCCTGGACGAGGAAGCAGCCGAGGACGTGGCTGTGACAGACGGCTTCCCCCTCCACCTCGGCCCAAGACATCACCACATTGTCTACAGGCGGAGTGTACAGGACTCCATGGATATGAGTGATTATGGTCAGATCATTTAAGATTTTTCTTAGCATTTAAGAAACACGGTTTAACCACATGCTTCCATCATTCACCTAAACCGTAGTTGCTTAGTTTTACCTTATTAGCAGAACCCAGAAACTTTGTTGATTCAAAGTTGATTGCCCTAGCAGAAATATTTTTTTTTTTTTTTTTTGATTGGAGGTTGCTCTATCTCTACCAAGAAATCACTGAATGAATTTTTTTATCTTACCTGGACAGTGTTCATTAACTAACAGTGCTGATTAAAAAAAAATTTGGTACAATTTTTAGGAGTTTTCTAGCTACATCTTAAAATTTTAGCGTGATACTAACCAACAGCGTAGTACAGATTTTTTGCCAGTGCCGATGTTTATTTGATTGACAAATCTACAATTTGTCTTTGATTTTGCACTCATTTAAGAGTAAAAAGGCATTAAATTAACTTAATGTAACGGAAAGGCACAGGAGGCCAGGTTTTTTATCCCAGAGTTAGTGGGATACACCAGGTATATTAGGCCTGTATAATATAATTGGTAGACTTTTTTTATTACCAAAAAGTTCTTTTTTTATTACCAAAAAACATGTTTTTTGATAATAGTGGTTTTGGACCTAGGTCATGCTATGATAATGCCAACTTCTCTTTAGAGAAATTGTCTAATCGTAAACTGTACCCCCCTGGCAAGATTACAAATTTAATTAATAAATTTCACCTTTTTAATGGATGGTTTAACCCCTAAGTTTTAATCTCAGTATAACACTGCATTCGGAACAATGTATCCTTAAACCGTAACATTTTGGTAGAGTGACAGAGTTATACTCAGTTCATTAATTAAAAAAAAAATTAGAGAACATTTGAAACTGTATCAACTCAACTAATTTATCAACATTTTCTGTTACAGCATTCATGGAACCAGATGAAGTACCACAAAAGCACAGAAGTAAAAGATCTATAAACAAAAGAGAAGCACCTTATGTGATCTACCCAGAAATTTTAGTTATTGTAGATTATGATGGATACAGGTGAGTGTTTTACTTGTTATGTTTCTGTTTATGGATTCATAAAGTGATCTCTGTAGATTTTTAATGAAGAATATCAGTTGCTTTTTCAGCTAATCAGGAGTATTTATAAAAATCCAATGATCAGTAACATCTAAGTACAGTTTCAAATATGACATTATATTCGTATCAAAAATCAGAAGAAAATCTTCTCATAGCTGAGAAGATCTGTATCTCTCATCTACAGGAGCTGTTATAACTTAAGTAAGCCAAAAAATACTAGGGAATTCCTTTTAAGCTTTTGTAGCATGATTAAAGTACTCTTTAAAGTAAATTTTTTGGTTATTCATAAATTATTCATTTAAAAATTTAGAGTTAACTTAACTTTTAGAAGTTAACATTATTTGGTAAAACAGAGCAGTGTCATTGTGAGGAGCATAAGTATAGCAATTTTTCAACAATAAACTGTAAGGAGTGAAGAGATATTTTGTTATATGTTATAATGTGGAAACAAATGTTCAAAAAATATTTTGTTGCAGGTTACACGGTGGAAACAATGTTCAAATCAAAAGATATTTTGTTTCATTTTGGAATGGAGTAGATATGAGATATAAATTATTAAAGGGTCCCAAAATACGAATAAGCATCGCTGGAATTATAATATCAAGGGTAAGTGTTAAGCTTTGTTGAATTTTTGGCTTGTAATTCAACTTTAAAACATTACGGAGTATAATAATTAATCGTGACTTAGTTTTCACGTTTAGTTGCCAAAATACATAAGAAATCACTTGGTGAAGTGTATAATGTTGTGCCAAACTCTTCTTGTAGAATTATCATCCTTATAGACGTACAAAAGACTAGTTTGAGGTACTGTATGTGTCCATCCGGTTTATGTAAAGTGATTATGTGACGTTTACTATATTTATTTGTTTTTATTTTGGTATTTAAAGTAAATAAAAAAATCTGCAATAACTCAAACTGAAACCAATTTGAAACACACTTCGCAACAAAGCTTCTTATTTAAAAATACAATGATAAGCCAAAAATAATTGTGTTATTGAAAGTCAATGTTTATATAACCTTATGCAAAGCACATGTATAGCATCTAGTGTTCTATGTTTTGCAAAACAAATAAATTAGTTTAAATTTGAATTCTAGGACCATCAAACTATCTAGGACTGTCACACAAAATTGTTCAAGACAATTTATATCTCGTGACAATGTTTTACAAGACTTCAAATTAATTTGGTTACTTCATTACAACTCTTGTGGCCATTGGAAACCAAGTTGGTTTCTGGCCTCACCAACATTACCGTCTCCACATTTTTAGGTCTTTTACCACTCTGGTACTTCTAAATTTGGTTAAGGATGTAAAAATTCATTCTTTAAAAAATGTTCCTGTTTTAAAGGGGAGAGATGCAACGCCATATTTAGAGCGCAACAGGGTCGGGCGAGACGCCATTGACTCGGCAGCCGCACTCACGGACATGGGCAAGTATCTCTTCAGAGAGAGGCGGCTGCCGGTTTACGATATTGCAGTAGCAGTAACCAAGTAAGCAATTTAACTTTTTTATACCATTTTTTACAATGTGAAGTTTATATTGATGAAAAGTTTTTACTGTCATTTCTTGAAGTAAATGGAGTGATACCTTTGACTAGTAAACTAGACAAATAATAATTTCAAAGTTGTAGTCAGTTTCAGAATAAAAATGGACGTAGTCTAATAGAGTCAACATAATATATTGTGCTTCTGTTAATTACTACAGTATGACTTATGTCAATGTTGTTGATCAATTTTTTGTTGAACCCATACAAATGTCTTATTAAACTGTACTTTATATACAGTACTTGAAAACTAAAAGAGAAGTATAACTTTGACAACAGCTCACTATATGAGAGGTATTTCAACTATGATCTATTTGAACAAAAAAAAAACAACAAAACTCTACAGGTGGTTCCCTAGATGGTCTATCCTACCTTACAACAACCTAAGTTACACTCAATCTGTTTCAAAAAATTCCAAAAACGTTTTAATAACTTACTATATGAGAGGTTTTTGTTCTGATGGTTAAAACTATGAATAAAATATGAAAACGAATAGCAAGACTTTTGTATCCATAGCAAGACTTTTTAACCAGTAAAGGATTTTTTCCTATATGTTTATTTGTTACAGCATATTGCTTTCTTTGAAACTCATACATTCTATTTTATTTTTTTACTAATAATTTTAAAGTCCCAGTATCCTCTTAGGATACTGCAATATCCTACTGCACAGTCAACAAGATAACTCTATTTGTTTCACTAAAAGTGAGTCATATGCTTTTGAATAAATTCTGATCTGGTCATGAGCTGTACACCAAAGTAGTGTGAAGTGGTTGTAACGGATGTTGACAAGATATGTTGTGGCCAGGTATGACATGTGCAGGAGACGCAAGGGTGGACGTTGTACGAAGGGCACAGCCGGTACGTTACGTCCACGACTCGTACGTTACGTACGCTTGTACATACAACTGGTGTACATAGCCTACATGTGTGTGTGCTGGGGCAGTTTGATACAACCGATCAATCCATGGTTGTCGTTTGTTTTGGTTCTATAAAACCCAATAATAAAAATATTTGTGTCATCTATTGTTGTTCACCTTTGAAGAACGGATGATCAATTACATCGTTACCGTACTTTTGGTTCTAGACGTAAAAAAATATCATGATTGATCTGTTGTTGAAAACATTTTTCAAAGCTTATCTCAGTTTTAAAATTCAGTTTTGAAGTCAATAGGATACTGGAGCAACCAAGCAATTCTTTGAACTAATTGATGTCCAGGTTTTACAACATTCTGTTAATGTATGGGTTTTCATTTTGCAACTATCTACTGTAGTAATTTTTTACCAGTATTACATAAACATTACCAGAGTTACTTACTCAAGCACAGTATCCTATTGTGCTTGAGAGTGAATTTTTCAACTGAGATAACAGGGTGAACTAATACATTGTACAAGGGATGGTTATGAAGTAGGATGGTTGGTGTTAACCTTTGTAGATTAAATATTTGAGATCTAGGTTGTAGGAAATCGGATAAAGAGAACATGTTATCATTTAGTTGATTTTATTCTATATAGATTAGATAAAAAAACTAACTTATTAATTTGTGTAACACATTTCAACCTTGCCTATGTAGTACATTTTAACATTCAATAATTGTGTATTTGAGTCTACCATTCAATTTTCATTAAACAAGTAGAATATATAACAATAACTAGATACAACCCATATAGTATGCTAATTTTTCTCAAATAATTGACATTTTAGATTGAGTGAAAAAAAAAAAAAAATTATTAAAAAAAAATATTTTCTCGGCATAACACTGTTAAATAAAATGAGAGTTACGGGTACCAACTAAATGTTTGAATTACCATCAATCTTTATTAATATTGGTTAGATTATGGACGTAACTAATTTATAGTTTATAGCCTATATTCTTAATTCATTCAAGGCTTTAGACTATATTCGCAAGTTTCATCACCACAAACTTTAACAGTCCAACCTTAAAATGAAACAGAACACTGTGAACTTAAATCATAAATATCCTAGTCTGGCTCTTCTCGGTTTAGAATAGGTCTACCCAGCAACTCACGACTTCTACCGAGGTATTCCCAGCAACAGAAACAGAAATGATCATCGGACGGATGCAGTTATGAATTCGTTCAGGTTGTGCAAACTCAAGTTTGACTAGAAATAAATGAAATATTGTTATTTGCAGATTAGACATGTGTCGACGCAATTACCCGAATGAGGTTTGCAACAGGGGGACTGCAGGTAGGTCCTTAACTACGCACTTGCACAAATTCTTCCCCCTTGACCATGACTTTACTGACCATGTTCTTCCTTACTTCACTGTCCTCCAAAGACCACCAAAGTTCCTTCCAGCTAAGATGAAATTTCAGATGATTCATAACGAACAACCAGTTATCTTCTTTTTCACCTGACAATTTTTATTTGGGTAATTTTTTCTTAAACCAAAATGTCTTTTTGAAGATTAAACTCCCTTGCAACATGAGGAGACATAATAGCAACAAAACAGTTAAAACAAAATTTACATTATGTGAAGGCTCATAATGTGCGCCAGTTTTGTCTCAAGGTTCAGGCAGCAATGTCGTTGGTCCACCTTGGACCATTGGCCATTATGCCAATAATAATGATCAGATCAGTTTATTGTTGTACCCATGTGGACAAGCAAAATGCTAGGTTAAAGAAGAAAATATTATTAGAGACTGTGTGGAATTGAATTAAGTTAACGCTTACTATTATTGTTCTTTGTAAATCAAATTTAAAAAAAAATACCTCTTTAATTCAATTAAATTCCATGTAACTCAAATAATCTCCCCTTGTATTTTGAGTATGTGAGAGTTAACTGTATGTGAATTATATAACTCGATTGTTTACCATTAGCTGGAAATCAATTCATGAAAAAAATTTTCCATCCAAAATAGTTTTAAATTATCTCCAACTTTTTACCGTAATCCTGTTTGAGACAAAACATTTATACACATTTCAACATTTATAAAACCGTATCAGGGATAAAATGAGAAATTTTCAAACACTTTAAACATTTTCAAACATAAAACTCAATATTATATAAAATTGTCACATCAACTTTCAATTTTTATATTAAAAAATATTTCATCCCTCCCAAATATTCTTGTGGGTCCTGTGTCTCCCAAACTAAAACTGTTACTAAACAATCTTGCTGACTGTTACTTTAAATTGTGTGTTCTTCAATGTCTGTCAATCATTCAGTTAACACTCATATATCCATTACTCATGACAGCTGGACTAATGACTTTGCAAGTGACTTTTGCTTACCCTCTTACTCCGGACACTTCGCACTGTTGCCAACATTTGCACCGTATCGCTGAGTAATCGTTGTTATCACAAGCTTCAAGCACCCTGTTGAAGTTCACTCTTATCATTTCATTACATATTCATCCTAATATATTACCTTTTTACAGCAGTTCCTCTTAGAGTAAATTATATCGTCCATGGAAGACAGTAATTCCACTTAAAAATGTAAATGAGACTATTGTCCATGTCTTAATGATTTTTCTACAACTGCATCATACATCGTATGACGATTTTGAGGCTGAAAATCATCAAGATGTTTAAATTTAAAGGGCGTCTTGTTTATAACAGTTTGAATGTCCATGGAAAACTTGAATGGTTATTAATTTGACATCCATGAGTAAATTACTTAAATGTAAAATCCCATGTGAAATCTGTGAAATGAAAAGCACTTTAGTCTTTACTCATATAACAGTTGTTCTTTTCCTAGTTTTTAACCCATCAATAAGTGAAAACAGTACCATAATTTTAAACAGTTACGTATTTTCATGTAAAGAAATAAAAATTAAAAATTCTATCCAGAGGTTACCCTATATTAGTACCGGTAATTGAATTAACAACTAACTTAATGAGTTTCTTTCTAAACTACTGCTCTCTTAAATTTGACTTACAGATTGGCAGATGATAAGTTGGTATCTTATTATTTAAATTGACAGTATGATTTATCCTATGTCTCATAATATGATTTTCTGTTTTGAATTTGGTTCTGTTATAAAAAAAAATATTTAAAATGTTATGCTCGTACCTTAAAACCTCAATAGTTTGACACTTTGTAGTCTAAGGGGGTGTCGAACTATGGAAATGTCGAACTGAAGGGAGTAAATTGGTTATTTTACAGGGACATTTATTTAAAACCTGAAATAAATCAAATACCTAAATTTAATGAATAGTCAAAACTTGACAAAAATAAACAAATTTCTCAACATCTTTACTGTACATTATTTGGCTTCTTACTGTTAAAATAGTTTGAAACATTCTACACTGCTTTTCACTTTGGATGTTTAAAAAAATGTAAATTAATGAAACAGTTATTGTATTGAGTTTTTGCATGCAAAAACAATAAGAAAGCAATAGTTTATAAACTCAACCGTCATCGGCTGCTGTCGACATGTCACGTCATCACTGCCTATGTCGAACTATCGAGGTTCTACTGTTTTACAGAATATTTATGCAACGTGAAAATAATTTTAAAAGATGGTCCTCAGAGGGGAACCATATTAACTGCCAATTTTGATGAAAATCCACATTTCTTTGAAATATTTTGTGCTCCCAACAACATCCCATTTGCGACTAATTTGATCATTTAACATCACATATTTTTGTCACCACTCACTCATCATCGTTGTAATGTTCACAATTGATGACTCTTCAATAATCTGTCCTCTATTTTCATGCCCTCGCCAATAGGCCTGAATGATCTGGTAAGTTCATCACATTGTTCTGTGTGCTTCAGAGTCCTTAATATTACTGTATTGCTAATCTTCCAAAATGACCAAGTTGGATGCTGCAAACCATTAATTTTCTGGTATATTTTACTTGTTTATTTGACATATTTTATCAGTGTGTGAAACTAATCACTTACATGTGTGTGTGTTTTTTCTACATGGTTTCTATTTTGGTTTTATGATATGCAGTGCTTTTGCCTATATGTTCTATTAGTTAATTAAAACAATAACTTCTGTTGAATCGATCAAAGTTTTGTTTGACTGATAGTTGCTAGTTTTTTTTTTAATATCGCTGACTGATTTGTTGAAATTAAATCTCGCAGAAATTAATCAATATTTCCATACCCCCATGAGATACTACAGCTTTAAAACAATTATTGCATATATCTATTAAAATAATAAAATAGTTAATTTTTACATAAAGAAGAACGATAGTATGTATTAGATGCTACCATTTTAATCTTTTATCATATTAAGAATAACCAAGGAAATATACATCAATCTTTCATTTCAATAAGACAAAACACCTATGTAATGCATGGGTAACTTGGTTTCATAGTAGCTTACTAACACATGGTGCATAGAGTAGTTGTGTAGTAATAGGTATAGTGCTTTTTGTACTAAGACCAAGCTTTTCAGCTAAATTTATCCTTACAAAAAAATTCAACAATTTTCCTATTTTCATTTTTGATTTTTTTTATCCTTGGTCTTAGTGCCTACATAGAAATCAAGGTGGTATATGGGTTCTTACCTTGGTTTTTGTAGGCAAACTTAGCTTAGTTAGAAGCATGTATGCATGACAGTTTGAATGGCCAATACAACAGTGGATTTATTTATAGTATTAATTCATTTATTTTCCTAGGTACTAATTTAAGAATATTTTTTGTTTCAGAAACTTTGTATTCTGATTTCATAATAAATACTTTTTGCAAACTCTACCAGTAAATTAGTGTACTGTAGTAAATTATAGATTTTTTACTGTATTTCATCAACTTAACTAATTTTTAAAGTGTTTATCAACTACAGGTAATTGATATAATACCTTATTTACTTTAAATCCCTTATACAGATACAAATTAACATTAGCGTTTTTATATTTTTGTTTTACAGTAGTTGTGGACTATAAAAAATAAGCTTGTCTAACAAATACCGGTAGGTAGTTTGTTAATATCTTCCTGACTTTATTAGGTTTTGCCTATGTTGGCGGAGCCTGCGTGGTAAACAAAAGACTGGAAAAAGTGAACAGTGTTGCCATAATAGAAGATACCGGTGGTTTCTCAGGAATTATAGTTGCTGCACATGAAGTCGGCCATTTGTAAGTAAAAGCATATGGATATTTCACTTGATAAAAATGTTCAACAACATCACCTTCTTTTAATTGTTTGCAGAAGCATAAGGAGTACAGATATCACAAAATTATATACTGATTGTTCTCTTCTGTTAACACACTTGTTGACCATGAAGTTATTGAGAAATTAGTAAAAATCCCAGATTTGTTGGCTAGTGCTGTGTTTAGTACTTGTTTGAATGCAAGGGGTTCCAGAACACCCTGTATAAAATCATTATTTTCTTAAAGTAAATCTAAACAACAAAATGCCAAGACACTTAATGCATCTTAAAAAAAATTTATTGAACTAAAGATATACAGAGTGGTCAAAAAAGAACTGAGACATTAAACATACATTTTTATTTAAAAAATTTGAACTACCTACATGATAAAATTTACAGGTAAAAAAAACTGAAAAAATGTTGGTGATTTTCATTAAATCTCAATATGGCCACTGTTTAAGGCTCTGGCGTTACCCATGCAATGTTGATTCCATCCCCGAGAAATGTTGCAGCAAAGGTGTGCGATGTGCTAAATTTTGATTTAATGCCGGCATAGCCTTAATTGGTGGCCATATTGAGATTTATTAGATTTCACCAAAAACTTTTTGAGATTTTCTATCTGTAACATATTTAAATGTTACCATGTAGTTAGAATTTTCAAAATAAAAACGTATGTTAAAATGTGTTAGTTCTTTTTGGACTATTCTGTAATTATATTCATGTTACGTCATAGGTTTCAACAGATTTTAGATTTTTGTTTGTTTTGTTATCTGAATTGTATTACTTGCCCTTTGCATAGGTGGATAGTTACATTATCTTAAAAGACTAAAACAGAGGTACCTATAACTTATGTTTCATTTGATTGTAATTACAGGGGAAAATAACATCATAAAGGTGTTGTTCTCAAAATAAACTATTTATTTTTCATACCAAACCAGACTGTAAACCAAACTAATACAATATCAAGATTTGCATTATCAAACAGATTACCAAATAACATTTTCTAACCTAAGTCTATTCAACCAGTGTTATCAGGACTTGCTTTATCGTTCATTCTAACTCTGTTGTCATGTTGTACAGACTGGGGGCAGTACACGATGGGTCGCCACCCCCAACCTACCTGGGTGGCCCGGGGGCGGAGAAGTGTCGCTGGGAGGACGGCTACATCATGAGCGACCTGAGACACACGGAGAAGGGCTTCAAATGGTCACCGTGTAGTGTGGCTTCCTTCCACCACTTCCTCAAGTGAGTCTAATATATCAGTGTATGAAAGTAATTTAAATAGGCAAGGTACTATGGAGAACATTTTTAATGTAATTAATGGCTGTGCTGTAGTCTCAAAATATTTTGTTAAGAAGTGTCGGTTTTGTTACACCCTTTAAGGAATGATGCAGGTTGGAAAAATGTTTTTCCGGTTGTAATTGTGTTGTGTTTTATTTAATGTGATAACAGTTCTATTTTCATGTTTAAACTTTACTGTGTACAATCAGTTGGTCTTATAGTGCTTGGTTGGTCATTCTTACTCTAAGATTTTGAAAATGTTCTCCGATCACTTACACCCTTTGTGCTTGATTGGATTTGTTGTTGATGTAAACAGTGCAGAATCGTTTCAATCTGTCTCTACCACTCGTTCAGCCATTACTACTGTCTGCATTTCCCACTGCATCAACTTGATAGCCAATATTGCTTCTTCCCTCCAGTGCAAATTTATGTTTGTTTTCAAGCTGGCCAGGAACTGTCACCACTAAGAGTACTATAAAAAATTATTTCAGAAACCTCATCGTATTTTTCCAGTAAATGTAGGCCTACTCTGCCAATGAGCCATCTCAGCAACAAAGACTACACAGGTGAAATTTATCTGAGCTTCTTTGCAAAAGACTGTGGCCAGTACAGCCATAGACTAAGCAACACAAGTAGACTTCTCATCCCATTGTAAATTTTGAAGCTCGTTTTTTGTGTCTAGTTCATGTACGGTGACACTGGGGGCTAGTGTCGACAAAATTTTGTTTCTATTACTTTAGGGTTAATTTCTTGATTTGTGCTTTACAGTACTGTTGGTTTTATATAACTAGGGGGCGAGTTATTGTTTATGATTATATCGCATTATTTGATTAAACGAGGTTTTAAATTACTGAAATAGCAAGAAACAAATTGTAAACAAAACTCGACCTCTACAGTACACCGTACAGAACTCACAATGAAATTGTCTTCAGCTGTTCTGGAAGGATGAGAAATCTACTAAGGGAGTATGTTTCATCCATGGTACAGCTGAATAGTTCCAGTAACCTAGTTAACAGCTGATTACTGTGCCCGTACAAGTAAATTGCTTGAATGTTTCAGTGGAGACACGGCTACGTGCCTCTACAACTCGCCTCACGAGGACGAGTCATTGCCTCGAGTGTTGCCCGGGAAGTTACTGACTCTGGACGCTCAGTGTCGCAAGGACCGAGGCACCAGCGCCTGCTTTGTAAGTGGCTAGATAATAAAAAGTTAATACAGTTCTTGCCGATCAATAAAGTTTCAAGATTAACAAGAGTAACGCAGCATTTACTTAGTATTGTTGCTACTAGAAAGTCTGTCTCCTAACCTTTTGAAGAAAACAATAGTTTTGATTAATATGCTGTAACTAAAAATGGTTGTGAGTTTTTTAAATACTCATCTACTTAATCTTAATTAATTTGCCCCCAAATAGTTTAAAAGAAAACTGTAAATCTATATACATAGTAATCATATAAAAAAAATACTATTTTCCAATATATTTTGTTATACAGAAAGACGACAGAGTTTGCGCACAGCTGTTCTGTTTCGACGCAGGCTCAGGGTACTGCGTAGCGTACAGACCTGCTGCGGAGGGTTCACCATGCGGAGACGGCTCGGTTTGTATCGTTTGCTTTTGTTTAGCAGTAAAAAGAGTTTTTGAGTTATTTTTATACTGTATTCAAATGTTTATTTTTATTTTTACCGTACTTATTAACAAAAGAAGCAATGAATGTGTTTACGAGTGATTTAATTGTAATGCTGTGATTGTATGGAAGATCACATATGGTGTATGAAACAATATGTATTTTAATGTGAGGGTGATATTTTTTAATAAGTGTTTTGAAAGAATCCACACTATCTACTTTAAATATTGGACAGTTAAGATAATTTCATAGGGGTGAACCAAAATAACAGGGACAATTTTAAAATGTTATTACTCAGCTGTCATAAAGGCTGGAGAGTTCATTGATGCGGCAAAAGAAAGTCTATTTGATGCAATTTAGTGTATAGTTACTATGGATCATCAATGGTTACCGCAACATCGTGCCTTTGTCATAGAGACTTTTTTGAAGAATTATTTGACTTTCATTTCTACTCAACGTCAATTTTGTTTTTACTTCAACATTGGCCGTAATGGTGCAACCTCAAAGCGAAAAACTATTTAAGGTTGGGTAAGTTATTTCCAGAACACGTCTTCTGTACTCAAAGTCAAACCTAGTGGGATGCCTCGGACTGTTCAAACGCCGGAAAACATTGAAATGGTTCGCGCGAGTGTCCTGCGTCGAGCGTCCAAATCAAAGCCAACCGTTTGCAAAACATTGCATTGACATTTAAATTTGCATAAGTTTAATTTTGAGTACAAAAGCCGTGTTTAGGACATTGTTTACCCGTCTTTGAGTAGTTTATTCGGTTTGGGGCTGCACCATTACGGCCAAAGTTGAAGTGAACACGAAATTGACGTTGAGTAGAAATGAAAGTCAAATAATTCTTCAAAAAAGTCTCTATGACAAAGGCACGATGTTGCGGTAACCATTGATGATCCATAGTAACTATACACTAAATTGCATCAAATAGACTTTCTTTTGCCGCATCAATGAACTCTCCAGCCTTTATGACAGCTGAGTAATAACATTTTAAAATTGTCCCTGTTTTTTTGGTCCACCCTTTATCTTATTCATCCTGCAACTGTGAAACTTTTAAAATGATTTAAAATAGAATAATGTGCTCTATAACTTTTAAAATATATAGCTTATTGGAATAGAGAATAGATTTGTGAGATGGACGATGAAGAATTAAATAAACGGTATCAGCATTCTGACACATAAGTTACTTTTTCCCATAAGTTTGTCAACAACCTTTATCATTTGTAAGCGGTGAGAGTAAATATACGGAAATGGGATTTGTACAATTTTATTCAGAATTTAAAGGACTATAACAAACAAAATTTGTATCGAAATCGTTCGGGCCAATTTTAGAAAATCTATTTTTCTGTTATTTTAAAATTCAGGGACAAATTCATAGATATATCTGACTTTCTACCGCGAAATGGGGAATTGCCTTCATATGGAAAATTGTGTCTAAATTAGGGGCTATGGCCCCTATATGCCACTAGTATGATGATAATGTTATAATGGACTTTCTTGTTTGAGTACAACTGACAAGTGGACAGTGATGTAGCTAAGTAAAATCAGATTTGACAACTGTTATATGACGTAATTATTTTTCATATCCATGGACCAAGTGCTGCAAATATTTAGTAGATCTAAAACTTAGGTCTTTCAAATATACCGTTATGAAGAAATTAGCTTCATAACAACACAGGAACACCCCAAAAAATATGTGTCGCAAGTCTATTTAGTTAGATATTACCATCCTATCGTCTATGTGTCATGGGTCTATATATGCATAGGCGTCTTTCTAACTGTTCGATAAGAGGACTTAATAGTCTAGGAGGTACCTTACAGAATAATTTTTTTATTTTTATTTATATGCAAAATTGTTGATTTTTGCACCTAAATTTGCATTTTCAATTTAGTTATTTTTTTTGTGCCATTTTTTAAAGTTTTACTTTTACGTCTTTATTACACAATCTTTGCAAAATGTGGTAAACATATCGGGTCTCATAATGATGGCTCGAACCCCCCCCCCCTCCCCCAGCCCATACTGATGGACGCCTATGTCTGCATGAATGGGAAATACCATTTTATATTGTGCTGGCAAACATATTAAGTTGAGAAACAATAACTATCTCAATTGGTGATGTCCCTTCCCACCAAGAGCCAACACAGTTTACTTTTCAATACTAACTCCAAAATTTTCCGGATTGCAGGTGTGCAACAATGGCATGTGTATGCCGGAACATGAGAACATCATCCCGGACTACTCGCAGAACACACCAACGTACCTGAGACGGAACGACGTCAACACGGCAGCCACTCAGAGTCGTCCGGTCTACGCGCTGCTTAACTCCACAACCCAGAGGTAAACTATGAGACAGTATCAACTCACTTTCCACAGTAGAATCTTGAAGTATAACCATCCACCATGTATAATCTTGACTTTTGGACGCCGAAGTAAACATCCCATCTTTAGAATTAATTGTTGTCAACTTTTTATTAAACAAAAACATAAAATGAGCCGCTCATAGAGTTTGCTGTAGTCTATATTCTATTTTCTCCCTTGGGATTTTTTTACTGTGATCGTTTTTAGTTTACCTGGCATAAAAGACGTTGTTGCTTACAACTATAGTCCTCGCCACCCTAACTTGAGGCAGCCCAAGGCTGCACGCCGTATATCTAGTGCGGCCTTGGGCTGCCTCAAGTTAGGGTGGCGAGGACTATAAGTTTCCCTGTCAGTTTCACTTAGATAGTTGGGGGTATTTTAAAGTAATCAGTAATTATTAAGCTAAGCACACTCTATCAGTGACTTGATTAAACTACATTCATTTTCTAGCTAAAACTGGCTACAACTTTAACATGGAAATGGGATGTCTGGTTACATTCATAGTCAAAGGTTTATCACAGATTAAACATACTCCCTTACGTTGATTTCACACAAGGCAGTTTTTGCTGTACGGTTGAAAACTGTACAGATAATTTTCTTTCGTAATGTTAAGAAGAGTACATTTACGGCGATGGCCAAAATCCGTGCTGTCTATCAGCCACCCGCTGCCACTGAACCAGTTGCTGTGTCATGGCCATGTGTCAGTGGCGTATGAATTCTATTGCAAGCTTTCACACTGCTCGTTCTGTTGTTGTTGAACCAGTCAGTGAAAATAGATCAACTGTTACTTTGTTAATTATTTAAAATCTTTCTTGTCAATTGGACACTGTTTATGTTTATTGTGACATTGTAAACACAAAAACATTCATCTTGATGTATGTCATGTGATGTGAAGTGAAAGAAACATAGACAGGGCATAAAACTGTACGGTTTTCAACCGGAGGGCAAAAACTTTACCGCGTGAAAGGATCTTAAAATAGATTAATCATCCTTAAGGATCAGCAGAAGACGATACTTAGTTTAATTCTGTCCGGTTTAATGTAGAGTCTTTTACTTTACAACTGCTAGTAATGACCAAAGTAAAATATTGAAGCATAAACCTTGTAAGTTTTTGTATGCATGTAATTATTGAAAAGCCAGTTTTTCACTGCACGATTATGTAGAGAATGTATGGTAGGGTAATGAGTTGAATGTTGAACTCACTCTCATGTAAATTTTAGCAGAGGAATATGTTACTTGCATGTTTTTGTTCCAGTAATAGATTCAAAAGGTTATTAATAAACTTAAATAGTAAAATTACAATAGTATTAGCCCTAAAAATGATTTATTTTTTATTTTGGTGTTTTGCTACACCAATATCAATTTTAAGTTTTTGGAAGGCTAAAACCTTTTTCTTTGCTACTACTAATTTTTTAGGTACCGGTACTTTAAAATGTGCCCTAAAAATGCTTAAATATACGTAAAAACGTCATAAACATTTACCCATAGTTATTTAGTTATTTCCATGTCTGTTAATTTTGATATGTAAAAATTTCTGACAAAACAAGATATTTATAAAATTTTATTTGTATTATAATGAGTTGGTTCTGTAGATGCATGAGTAGCTGCAGTAGAGATAAAAGCACAATCATACATGCATTCATAAAATTCATAAATAGCTTTACATATGAACACACCTTAAAAAAATAAATAAAAGGTAATAATTTTGAATACTGATGAACAATTTGCACTATAGAGTTAAATAGTATATTTCATCACTACAGCATCAAGTGACTCTTTTTGACAAAATCTCAAGCTTAGTAGTTGATCTACTCAAAAGTTCCAAGGTGTTTAGCTTGAAAGCAAATGGTACTGAAATGGAAGGATAAACCAATCTAGGTTTATGTTTCTGCTATGTAATGTTGTTATTTATTATATGTTTCCTTAACTCAGATTTACTAAAAGTAAAATGAATGAAGGAGATTTAAGTAGCTGTTGTTTCTCATTTTGTTCTTTTTCTGTGATCATTGCCTTGTAAATATGTGTTTGTGGGTGTAATCAGGTCGGAGTGGGATGATTTTTGGAGAACTGCGAGTACGACAGAATCGTATTACAATCCAGGCACAACCACTTACCACACAACGCCTTACAACTATTACGACAACTACAAAGGTGTTACTCAGAACCCAAACAATGACATTGGTGTTAAACCATATACTAACTCTTTAAGTAATTCCAAACTGAAAACGACAAAGAATCCTTACAACTTTGCTGACTTTGGAAAATCAAAGTACACCACACCTTCTTATTTCAAAACGACTAAAGATTATCAAAAGACCACACCTTACTGGACTAAGTCTAACGACAAATTTACACAGCCCCCATACCAGCCATATACAAGTTCAATACCCAGTGGTAAGTTTGACTGATATTTTTGTAACCTGAGCACGTGATGGAGCTTCAATGTAACTAAGGCACTGTTAATTCTCTTCCACTTCTGTTCTTTCTTCAATTACTGTATATCACTCATGACCATCCATCAGAAAAATCGCCATCATTACTGTCATCGTAATCATCATCTCAACAGAGTTTCATATGAACGACACAGACTTTCTTATGTGTACCATTCATTGTCTCTGTGACTAAATTTCACTGTTTTTCGAGCTGTAACCATGTTGTGTTCTGTGACTCATCATAATTTCTGCATGAGGATGTGTACTGAAACATGAAATTTTGGCCTTCAAAAGTGTTTTAATTGTCGCTCTTTAATTTTGTTTCAGTGATTTTAGGTACTGGTAAGTATTTTTATGTTTTGGCATTTCAGGACCAGTTCTTATGTACCCTGTGTCTGTCTAATATTAATAATTCTAACTTATTTAATCACATGAATATCTCTAATCAGACATAACAGTACTAATAATATCCACCCATGCATGTTAGCATATTTAGCTGAAGAAATTAAATATGGAAATGTATTTTGGTTTAAGAAAAAATATAAACCAATTTTGAGATTATGATTATGGTTAGTATAAACTGATATAAATGCTAAAGAAATAATAGGATTGTAGAAAATTATTGTCAACATTTTAAAGGTATGCCTCATCAACCTACTATCCTCATTATTTTTCAGATTATCAAACTCTGGAGTTAGAATTACTTTATGACTAACTGAGTTAAAAGGGCTTTCTTAATTGATTAAGCGTTAAATAGTTTAGGTTCTATGAACTCTAAAGATTATTCAGTGATTTAATTACATTAATTGATATCTTACAAACAAAAATTCCAAATAATTTCAAACAAGTTTTTGTGGATACACCCAGAAGAATAACCAAAAAGTAGTAAAATGCCATTTGCGGCTTAACTCTCAAAGAATCCACACTTCCCAGCAACTCCTACCTGAGCCATCCTCTGTTTTGGGTAGGCCTTCCCCATAGACGGGTGAACTCCCAGGAGTTACACACTATACCTAACTGAGACGGGATTAAACCCTCAATTTACAGAGCTGTCTCCCTCCTATCCAGAGAGACAGCGTCTTAAGACAGTTCGGTAATTTATGATCACACCTAAAAGGTCTACCACACTGACAAAAATTATCAACCAAAACGTTGTTCTAAACTTGACTCTCAGGTTGTATCTCTTTTTAAGTGTGGCTTAATTCACTATTTTTTTTTTTAAGTTTGATTATGTTACGCTAGTAACACACATATTTCAGCCTTCAAAGCTCAAATGTTTAATGTGTGTTTTACATGTTTTTGCAGTGGAAGACACTGAGTGTGTGGACAAGGATCCAAAATTGAACGGAGGGATGTCGTGTTACGAGTTTCTCCAACGCTACGGTTACCAATACTGCGGCTCGCCATCCTTCATCAGCAACTGCTGCGCGGCGCAGAGGTACCTCTGTGATAAGCGGCCAACCACCAGATAGCCTTAAGTTTATTTCTTGTTAAGTTGCGCTGTCAACTATCTGTTTTTAAATTTTCAACTTGAACTGATAACTCAACAATGTCCAGTATATCCTTTCACGAGGTATCAAACTTTTCATCTCTTGAAAATGTAGATAGTGTAACATTTTATGGGGGATTAAAATGTTACCTTTTAACTACTTTGGGCAGAATCGACCATTTTCATTACTTTTTTGAAACTGTCATTGGTGAGGTTATTTTAAATATTTATTTTTATTTGGTTGCTTGTTTTTATAAAACAATGCAGTCGTGGTTGTTGTAGGCAAACAAAATTGTATTGTTGAGGGGATGATCACGCTTTGTTAAAAATTGTATAAAATGATTTTCATTCCATAGATGAATTAATCTGTATTTATTTATTTAGGTAAATTGTATTTGACAATGACATACATAAACCAACCAACTATGATCAACATTAACAAAGTTGTGTAAAGGTGCAGAAATTATCTTTAGTCAAGGGAATGTGAACTGCCACTCTACACTGCCAATATTGTTTACATTTTATATACGAAACTATAATTTTACTTATTAACTTTTATGACTAGTTAAAACGAACAACATTCATTTAAACAGTGTCAAGGTATCTGTTACAGATGTTAAAAAATCAATTCCAAAGCAAACAAAATACATTTCAGTGCCATTGCAGTATAAAACTTTTTTCAATATCTTTGATTTTTAATAATAGCTCTTGGAAGTTTAGTATGTTTCCAGTTTTAATATTTTATTCAAACTTGTAAAAAATATCATTGTACAGAGAAATTGTATAAATTTACAACCTAAATAAAAATAATCATCACATGCATATTTCTGTCAACAAATTTAAATATGGAACTTTCATTGGCAAGTACCTCACAAACTTTCTCATCAAATATCTAAACTAGAATATATATGTGTGTATATTTTTTCAAAGTCTTTCTGCAACCCAAATCTTATTTTTCAATGCCAAATAGGTATATTTTGTAATTTAAATAAAAATATATTAGAAATGGTTCAGTAAAATTAATAAAAGTTTAGAATAATATACATGTATATTGATTATAGTAAAGTAGGATTCGCCAGTAAAGATTTTTTTTTTCAAACGTATCTGGGCAATGATATTAGAAACAAGTTTTTTTTCAACCTTAAAGTCTTAAAACCTTGATATTAAATAATCAAGCTCTTTAATTGTCTTTTAAAACTGCAATACTGAACTTTTCTTAACATTGAAGTCCTTATACAATTCTGTACTTTGACAAGAAACCTTATTTTTTCTTTTACAAATTATTGATTGCACAATTTACATGTGATCTCATTAAAATAACCATCCTTTGTGTAACCTAAATATTTAATTAATTTTCTTCATCAAATAGCAGATAGTTATATTGAGAACGCTTCAGTAATAAGAATGCCATATTGAAGGGAAGTGTTGGTTGAATGTCTTGAATGATGAAAATATTTACTAACTTTAAACTTTTAATGCCTGTAGTTTTATTACATTCTCAATTCATGATGAAATTATAATTTTGGATCTTATATTAAAATTAATTAAAATACTTGAAAGATATCACTTACTATAAATATTACTGTATTACACAGACTTAAACAATTAGTTATGGAAGTTTTAGTGTACAGATACGTCACTCTTTATCAATCCCCGCTTATATTTGTATACCAAAAAAACTATCATCACATAATTATTGATATGGCTTTATTGGTTTGAAGGTACAAATGATGTACACAACGATCTATGGAAAGAATCATATATCCTTTAAGTTCCTAAAATTAAAATCATAAAATACTAACAATTTATCCAATATAAAAATTCCTGTTAAGTTTAAGATCTTTTGATTAAAATAATGTAGGCCTACATCTATTAAATGCTAGGAAAATTGTGAAAAATATTTCGATGTAAATGTGATTTTGTACAAAATGTATGTGAAATTCTCACTGTTTTAGTGAAAACATTAACATCACAATGAAGAATCATTGAAGTATTTTACAAAAATAACAATATTTCAAACATATTCATCACTTTTAAGGCTTCGATTTAATTTTATTAATCAGTATTTATATTTCTTCTTTATATTGTTGTATCACTTATTCTGAGATAATTTATTTCAAAGACATAAAATCAGACAACAGTCCTTGTTTTAGTTTTTGAGCTTTGTCTGAAACATATTATTTTTGAGCAGCTGGATGTGAATTCTCTAGAATCCTACTAACTCACCAGAAAATATGTAGGATACCTGATGTAAAATATTGTATTTAAGCTATTTTAGATTTTTGTTAAGAATATTACCAATTTAATTTAGTCGCTGTATGTGTTTGATGAGGAATCTATTGTTTTGCCGAAGGTGTAAATATCTAAGAATGAGAAATCAAGACATGTTGTGATATAAAAAGTAAGATGCGGATTAAATGAGATGTTTGAATGAATTATGTTGGTTTTTCTCATTACCTTGAAAAAGTCTAGTGTTTTTTTTTTTTTAAGTATGAGTAAACTTATTTTTTTATCAGTGTAAAATATATAAAAGTTTTTATTTTGCAAAAATATTCTATGATGTAAATATGTTTTATGAAGAGAACTTTTGCTTACAATTGATAGGAAAAAAGATTGAAAAGGGAAATCAAAGGGAAGGATATATCACAGTAACATTGAACAAAATGTTGTTTAATTTTGTTCGTCAAAGCTATTTGTGTATTAAGAGCGCAAAGTATGTCATTGCCGTTCGAGAAGTGTAGATGGCCGCTCGAAGCTATAGCTGAGTGTGGCCATACATTTCGAGAGTGGCAATGATTGTTTGTGCTTGTAATACACACACGATTTTTCCTTCCACCATAATTAACTAATCATAGCATACAGATTAACTTTTTAGTTGTATATAAAATTTCTTTTATGTTATGTTTCTTGCTTTTTTAATTGGTTGTTACTTTACCTGATCCACCGCTGTGATTGGTGTAGAAACGCCAACAGTGAAATCAGCTGATTATCAAGTGGGAATGATCCATTCCTACCTTCGTATGGTCGCCATTTCAAGAAGTAAAGTATTAAGATAAACTTTTTATATGTATATAAAATGTAATTTATGTTATGTTTGCTTATTTAAGTTTATGTTATTTGCCCACCGGTTGTTAACCAACGTACCGGATCTCAGTTGGTGTAGAAACGACAACTGTGAAATCCGATGATTTTATGAGCATTTCCGCTCTAGAGCGGCAATGAGCTATTTTGGGTACTGTTTACAGGTATGGCAATGTGATTATTTCCATGAAGTGGTACAAAAAAACCTTAACTACTTTTGTTGGGACTTGTTTATTTCTCAAACTTTTCTCTAGTTTATTCACACTTTTGGGGTGTAGACAGCTTTGTCAGTCAGCATGGAAGTTGAGCTTTTTTTGTCTTTCTTTATGTAACCATCATAATCATTACACACTCCAATGTCGTTGCACGTGTTTGTTTCACAACCACTATTCGATTTGCACTGAAAAATATGTAGTGTGACATAAATAACATGTAAACTTCCTTAATATAGACATTATTAACATGAAACACTTGTTTATAATTCTTATAAAAGATAGGTATAAATATGCTTGTATAAAGTTAGGTATGGATAGCGTCCAAACTGTTGTGTTGTGTTTCCCAATATCATAAAAATTCTAACTGTACACTTGCAAGGTTAATTTATGAGAAAATTTACTATTTTTCTATAGTAAGATGGAGAGTATTTCAAATAGCTGTTTGTGCAGCACTACTAAAATAGCTAAGTAGTAACTAAATAGTAAGTAGCACTTTTTTTAAAAAGGGAAAAATGTTGTCAATTAAAAAAACACTTTGAACTTGAACACAAGTTGCACAATATATTTTTGTTACAAAATTACAACATTGAAGCTATGATTTTGTGGCTGCATATAATTGTTGTAATGGGATAAACAATGTCATTGCTGGTCCCATTTTGCTAACTTAATTCCATTTGCATTCTATTCTGTTTAGTCAGCTGTTTTGCAAACTAATTCTAGTGGGCAAAATGTCACAACTGAAGACAAAATAGTATATTTCGTACCTAGGGCCGAAAATGAGGTTTTGCCGGCTCGAGATAGTTTTTAAGTTTGAGACGAAGTCGAGAACTTAAATCGATCGAGAGCTGTAAAACCATTTCGGTCCGTGGTACGAACGCTATTTTTTCACCACACTTTACCCTATTACCACTATAATAATGCACACTGATAGTCAACACAACTACAACTTTAAGGTTATGTGAAGAAATAATTTGAGGAATCAGCAAAAATTAAAATAAATAGTTGCTAGGCAACGGTGACAATAACACAATTCTATTGCAATGCTATGGATTTTGATTGTGTATTTAAAATGCATTCATGTTTTAAGTAAGTAAGCGGACAGCTGATTTTGCGGCCCCGGCCTGTAAAAACCTGCTCGGTCCCCAAATTACGATGACAGCTGGCACAGCCAGCAAAACGTAACTTTCAGCCACCAATTAACGTATGTAATACAACCAAAAATATTATAGTGTGGTGAAAATATTTTTCACCACACTATGATGTTATTAGCCATTTTACAAACGTTCATTGGAAGCCGAAAGCTACGTATTGCTGACTAGGCCTATGCCAGCTGTCATCGTCATTTGGGGACCTACCAGGTTTTTACATCCCTAGGGCCGAAAATAAGATACCCGCTTACTTTATTAAAACATGAATGCACATTAACTACACAATCAGTATCCATAGCATTGCAATAGAATTGATTTATTATCACCACAGCCTAGCTACTATTTATTATTATTTTTGCTGATTCCTCAAATTATTTCTTCACATAACCTTAAAGTTGTAGTTGTGTTGACTATTAGTGTGCATTATTATTGTGGTAAATAGTGGTAATAGGGTATAGTGTGGTAAATAATAGCTTTCGTACCACGGACTGAAATGGTTTTCCAGCTCTCGATCGTTTTAAGTTCTCGTCTTCGAACTTTAAAACTATCTCGAGCCAGCAAAACCTAATTTTTAGCCCTAAGTACGAAATATACATTTTTTCTATGATAAAAAGGTAAAAATACTTACAAAACCTCCGAGGCCAGACAGGGCTGACGCTGAAGCTATCAAGAAGAAGAAAAATAGAAACCACATACGCATCTTGAGGGCCAATGATTAAAATAAACAATAGTCAATCCTTATATGCGTTATTACCATATGTCAATTAGCAGTATGTTTGTATTCATCAATAGCTCATGATTAGTACCACTAATGTAAACCAAACCAAGCAAGCTGTGATGACAAGCCTTCGATCTGGTTAATCATTGTAATATCACATATTCACATTAACGTTTATTTTTAATATATTTCTCATTGGCTTGCTAAGAAACAGATGATCACAGCCAGTAACGAGGCTACAGAGGTCATTACACTCATTTTCCAATCATTTGGGTTTGAATATGCCGTCAGCCCTCCCATACCATAATCATGATATTTATAGTACACCGGTACTTATTTTGGAAAAATGGGTAAAGATGGTAAAACATAAAACAGTTTCTTTTAGGAAGGTAAATTTATTATATTTCCACAATCATTTCTCATCTTAATAATTAATAATGCTACAACAGATTTTTTCATGATATATTTTGATTGTAACATACTTGATGAAAAACATTTTGTTTATAGCCGCAAACATACTAGAAAAAAAAATCATGAAATATTACTATTTACTGAAACAATAGATTTGTATCCAACTTAAATAGCATGTCTTCAGTTCAAAATATTTCATGGTTTATATCAGCAATAACAAGGAAATAAACGCCATTTAAGTTGACAGTCCATAGACATAATTATGACTAAAAGCCCATTAACACTAAAATCACACATATTTGCAATATATTTCAAAAATAAATATAACATTACAGAAGTACTTACAATTTATACAGATCCATCATACATATAAAGATACAGTATTTACTTTTAGACAGGTATTTTAGCTTATATAATTCATGTAAAGTATGTACAAATTAAGCTAGTTCGTAGGTAATATTTGTCATAGTAAAAATACTTTTTAACTTTTTAAACAAACTTAAACATTAAAACATCAACAGATACAGTGGTATCTGATACGTAATATTTTGTACGAAATGAAAACAGGTAATGTGTAGAGAGACACTTTAAAAATATATAACTTTTCCTGTTGAAATTAGTTGTACGTTAGAGCATACTTGCCAAACGTTTCATAATTCATTATGTGGTGGAAATTGGTTTTCCCCATTTTTTACCCCCATAACATCAAATTTTACTATAAATATTAAGTAGATCAAAACAAAAAAATTATAATAATATTTTAGTCTTGTATATTGAAGCCGTTGTATGCCTAACGGTTGCTAAAAAAATAAAATAAAATAATAAAAAATTCCCTGGTTATTCTTATGGAGGGTAAATAAACTGTTCACTTCGGTCTCTGAAGTCCCAGGTTCAAATCCCGCCAAGTCACCAATTGATTTTATCCAAGTGATAATGCCGCAACTTCTAGGTCTAGCCTGAAGTAATCTGAAAAACAGTTCCGGGCTCATGCCTAGCGCCTTGAGAAAAAAAGCTATCAACATTAAAAAAACATCTTATTACCTTCCCTGTAGCAGCAAAACTAATTACTCATTAAAAATTAATGTTATTTAAAAAGAAAATAAATCTGACAATCTTAAGTACAGATTTTAGTGGAAATCCAGCCAGGTGAATGGAAATTCGCTTGGTCTGCAGGTTTGCTGTGGCAGGGGTGTTCTTATTGGATTTTTTAAACCTTGGGAAAATTAAAAAAATGCATGATAAGAATGCTTTGTCAACCCAACCATTTGAGCTAAAGGGATTATTCAGTGATTTCATTGAACCTATTTTATTACGCGCTCCCATATGGTCAACACAAAAATGAACTTCTTTTAAAACAAAATGATAAAATCATCATAAAAGTAAAGTTTAAAAATAAATAACTAAAAGACGCGTTAGCATAAATATGTCATAGTAAATTAACAAACAATGTAAAAAATAACAAAATAACAAACAGACCCTAAAGAACAGGTGTACAAAAACTTAAAATAAGTTTGATCATAACCCTTACAATCCGAATCTTTGGTAGATAAATTGTATAACAATAGGAACTAATTAATGTACAAGAAGTATTTGCATTGTAATATACAATTTAAAACTATATAGATACATAAAAAGCATATGTACATGGCAATAGAATTGATTATGGTAATATGGTATGAATTCAATTTACGGTAAAGAAATTATCGTCTTCTTCCATTCATTTGTAGCATTTCATCGAGTTCACCATTCTCTTCCCCATCTCTCATTCTACCCTGAAAAAACCACATAAATTTATTTCTTTAAGTTTTGTTTTGGTTGTTCACTAACACAAATAACCGATCAAATTTATAGATAGTGTATGTTTTTTACTATTTTCAATGCTTATGTTTTGTTTCAATTATGAACCAACTTGATCTTATTAACCTACAACACCCACAACAGTGAATCACTACTAACCTGGTTCTGCTGGAGATGGTTGGAGTCATTCCCATAGTCATTCTAAAAATGAAAATAAGCATGAACCTATAACATAATATTTAAATAGGTACTGAGAAGATCAACAATATATTTTCCAATGTATTGTCTTGAATGATTTTTTTATCACTCAGACTCAATCAATAATTAACAAATAATTTATATGTAAAGTATTATACGAGCAAATCAATTAAAAGTTAAAAAAAGCGTGTGGTTAGTTAACAAATACAAAGAATGTTCCTTTAATTAATCAGTTAATGCAGTCAGCATTTGATAATCTGACACTTGACAGCTGGACAGTGGACACACTCCCAATGCTGGAATTTTATTTTGTGTGTTGTACATGATAAACATTGAACTTTTTAAAATAATGCCTAAAATGATTCATTTGAGTCACAAGCAGTCAAATAGTACATTTCAAGAAATGGTAAGTTATATCTCATTAACTTATAGGTTTAGCAATACTTATGGTGATCCAGAGTTTTTGGTTATACCACAGAGAAGTAAGGTACAGAGGATACAAGCTTATGGGTCAACCGTGTGCTTTCAGCTCTGGTATGTTGGGGCGGAAGTATACTTGTGACGTACAAGGAAGAGCCTGAAGGGCTACCACTGAGTGGCAAATTCTATCACACAGGGCAAAGGGTCTTCCTCCACCGTGAGCGTTGTAGTACATGATAGTGAGGAGGCGGAAGGGAGCCATTGCCCTAGACATCAGCATTAGCGCTAGACACCACTTAAGTGTACCATTGAATGTTTCTTCTGTATCTTACATCTCTGTAGTTATACCACACCCTCCCAGTTCCTTAAGTATCATATTTTCAAGCATCACATGTAGGCCTACTCACAACTTCATGAAAATCTCAATTAATTCTTTCTCTCATGTTTTCAATAGCAATTTTAATCTATTCATTTTTAGGAAGTTAGTCGCCTTTAATGTTACCTTGAATTATTATGTTCATCTCGGTCTCAAAAGGCCTAGCATGTAACGTATGCCTTAAAGCAAAGGGTGAACCGTTAAAGTACAGAAATGAACTTTACTGGTAAACTTTTAGGGACAACACCGGAACACAAACTCTTACAAACTCACAACATAGATTTTTTTATATACAATCATCAGACCATCTTTTTTAATCCTTGAAAAGTAACTACTATTTAATGTGAGCATATATCAAGAAGTTGACGTACCATATTATCAAACTCAGATCTGTTGGTCAAGAACTGAGCCTCCTGGTCATATCTACTGCAAAGCTCAGCCCCCCATCTGTCTTCCACCACTTGTCCGTCCAATTCTGTACACATCCCAACAATTACACAACACAGCAAAAAATATAAAATATTATAACTGATATTAATGTTAGTCCTTTCAGTGCTATGAACGATATATCGTTGTTTTAAAAAATCTCTAAGGGATATAGAGAGGAAGGTTATTTCAACAAAAAGTAGCAAAACGGCCATTGGTGACCTGTATGTTCATAGGATACACTAACAACCACTTAGCTAAAAGATTCGCCCAATCAGATGATTTTGAGGTGTATGTCTAAACCAAGGATTATGAACACCTCACTATGCCCCAGTGGTTGTAGTATATTGCTACAAACACACGGGTCACCAATTATTTGCCACACAGGACGGGAATCGGATCCGAGCAGACGAATGCCACTGGCCAAGTGACACACGCCCTAGCCTTCTCGGCTATCTGTGCTTGAAGACTGAGGAGTCAAAAACTGATATTTAAGCTGACACCACCGATTGCGAACAGATAGCGCTACAGATGGTTGTTCAATGCATTACTAGGTTGCAGCACTAGTTAGTCACGGACTATTTAGATGATATTATTCAGTTGAAACACAACAGTGATCATAAATGTGTTCCTGAGACTTTGCTGCAAAACATTATTTTCCCTAAAATGGTTATATAGTGATGGTCAGATCCGGATATCGGACTACCGGATCCGCCGGATCCGTGCTAGAACCGGCACTGGATCGGATCCCGAAAATTCCGGATCTTGGGCTGGATCCGGTTTTATTGGATCCGATTTTCCGATTTTTTTCCGATTTTTTGACCAACACAAAGCTGTCTGTATCCATGTACAAGACCGATTTCCCCCCGATTTTTTTACTAACACAAAGCTGTCTGTATCGTCTTTGTATATTTGTTGATGCAAAAAATGTATATGGGTAGGCCATGTCTTCGTATTTATATGTTGATGGAAACAATTTATATGGCTAGGCCATGCCTTCGTATTTATATCTTGATGCAAACCATTTATATGGCTAGGCCATGTCTTCGTATTTGTATCTTGATGCAAACAATTTATATGGCAAGGCAATGTCAATTTATAAGGCAAGGCCATGTCTCAGTGTTTGTCTTTTGATGCAAATTACTTATTTGGCAAGGTCATGTCTCAGTGTTTGTCTCTTGATGCAAATAACATATATGGCAAGGCAATGTCTCAGTGTATACCTTATATCTTGATGCAAACAATTTGTATGGCTAGACCATGTCTTCGTATTTGTATCTTGATGCAAACAATTTATATGGCAAGGCAATGCCTTCGTATTTATATGTTGATGCAAACAATTTATATGGCTAGGCCATGTCTTCGTATTTATATGTTGATGCAAACAATTTATATGGCTAGGCCATGCCTTCGTATTTGAATCTTGATGCAAACAATTTATATGGCAAGGCAATGTCAATTTATAAGGCAAGGCCATGTCTCAGTGTTTGTCTTTTGATGCAAATTACTTATTTGGCAAGGTCATGTCTCAGTGTTTGTCTCTTGATGCAAATAACATATATGGCAAGGCAATGTCTCAGTGTATACCTTATATCTTGATGCAAACAATTTGTATGGCTAGACCATGTCTTCGTATTTGTATCTTGATGCAAACAATTTATATGGCAAGGCAATGTCAATTTATATGGCAAGGCAATGTCAATTTATATGGCAAGGCCATGTCTCAGTGTTTTTCTTTTGATACAAATAACTTATATGGCAAGTCCATGTCTCAAGTCTCAGTGTTTGTCTCTTGATGCAAATAACTTATATGGCAAGTCCATGTCTCAAGTCTCAGTGTTTGTCTTTTGATGCAAATAACTTTTATGGCAAGGCCATGTCTCAGTGTTTGTGTCTTGATGCAAATAACTTATATGGCAAGGCCATGTCTCAGTGTTTGTCTCTTGATGCAAAAAACTTATACGGCAAGGCCATGTCTTAGTGTTTGTCTTTTGATACAAATAACATATATGGCAAGGCAATTTCCCAGTGTATACTTTATATCTTGATGCAAACAATTTTTATGGCTAGGCCATGTCTTCGTAGTTGTATCTTGATGCAAACAATTTATATGGCTAGGCCACGTCTTCGAAATTATATGTTGAAGCAAACAATTTTAATGGCTAGGCCATGCCTTCGTATTTGTATCTTGATGCAAACAATTTGTATGGCAAGGCAATGTCAATTTATATGGCATGTCTCAGAGTTTGTCTCCTGATGCAAATAACTTATATGGCAAGGCCATGTCTCAGTGTTTGTATCTAGATGCAAATAACTTATATGGCAAGGCCATGTCTCAGTGTTTGTCTTTTGATTCAAATAACATACATGGCAAGGCAATGTCCCAGTGTATACCTTATATCTTGATGCTAACAATTTATATGGCTAGGCCATGTCTTTGTATTTGTATCTTGATGCAAACAATTTATATGGCTAGGCCATGTCTTCGTATTTGTATCTTGATGCAAATAATTTATATGGCAAGGCAATGTCAATTTATATGGCAAGGCCATGTGTAAGTGTTTGTCTCCTGATGCAAATAACTTATATGGCAAGGTCATGTCTCAGTGTTTGTCTCTTGATGCAATTAACTTATAAGGCAAGTCCATGTCTCAAGCCTCAGTGTTTGTCTTTTGATGCAAATAACTTATATGACAAGGCCATGTCTCAGTGTTTGTCTCTTGATGCAAATAATTTATATGGCAAGGCAATGTCTCAGTGTATACCTTGATTTGTTCCAGGAATAAATAAATTGGATGCTGTATGCAAAAACCACGATATAGCTTACTCAAGATCGAAATATTGTAAACTATACACAGATACCCTTGTGGTGGTCGTCCAAACTTAGCACAAAGTTTCATTTTATGATTTTGAAAAGTTCTAGTGTCCCCAAAAAATGGGGGATTATGGGCTCAACTGGAGATTACTCTACATCCTACTAATATTATAAATGAGAAAGTTTGGATGTATGTTTGTGACAAGTGAACGCGAAAAATACTGGTCGGATTGGGCTGAAATTTGGCATGATGATAGCTAACGTGACCATATATTTTGGAGTTCAAAGCGGGACAAACCTTGCCGGGGGGTCTGGGGGGTATAAAGAGGGGGGTCCGGGGAAAAATTTTGAAAAATAATAGGTGTAAACTAGCGTTTTTATGCAATCTAGACGTGATATTTTTTAAATCATAATTTGATTTTTATTTGAGTTTTTACTATATTTAACCTATTTGTTTAAGGTGTTTAAACATGAATTTAAATTAAGTTCATTGGACGGAACATATCTTTACTTCGAAATATCCTCAAAAGTCAAAGTGGATAGCTTCACCAAGCACCTTAACAGCGGGAAATGAGCAAAGGAACTGAATTTACAAATGGCGGATGGATGTCATCGGGATTCGGGAATAACTAATAAAAAGTAACATGGACAGTTTTTAATGTAATTTTTTATCATACAGTAAAAAAATGCATTGTTATCCCTATATAACATTTTATTCAAAAGTAAATATCCTAATACACCAATAAATGCTAAGCTTAATTGGTAGGCCTGCAAAAATCATCAAGTTTAATCTCGGTGTTCAATTCTAATCGTCAAATAAACATTTGTAAATTATTATTCCACTATGTAAATGTTAACCAACTTTATCCTTAACATCCAACAAATGGATTGACAATAAGAATCTCAATAAAAAGTTTGCCATTTATTAATTTACAGTGCAAGAAATTCACAAAATCGTCCTTAATAATAAAATAACCATTGACATTACATTACAAAAACATAACAAATAATACTGTAAATGAATACTAGCTCAAATTGAATAATTATTTGCATCTTAGTTTTTCTTAGCAAACGTAAACACACTACGGTAAACAACACAAGGGAACCACTTAACTTAATTAAATATTTGCTCAAACCGTAGCTCAGTCTACTTGATCTCAGAGTTTAGTGGTATATTTGTCACTGGAGGCTATTTGTTGCAACGCTTTTGGAGATGATCGTAACATTGCATAAAAGTCCTGACAACTCAAATTGAAATTAAATTTTGTTTGAAGAATCGATTTTAAAACATTGACAGAAAGTTGAGTTTTTTCAGATGTCCACACTTTTGTCATTGATGAAAATACTCTTTCAACAGATGCATTGCTCCCTGGGAGAGTCAACACATATTCCACAATTTTACTTGCGTATTCGCAGTTTATTGAGTTATCTTTAAAGTGCGTGAAGATCTTAGACCATCTTGAATCTGTTTCAACTTGTTCTTCGTTCCAATTAGCAACATTGCTTTCAACATATTTCAACACATACCCAATTTCATCGAATACTTTAGTATCACAATCTGGTGGAAAATACTTATTCTTAATTAAATAGTCAACTGACGGTTGGATGTCCTCCCACTTTGGAGTGTTCTTCAACATCACCCATTGAAATATCTCCAAGCTTTGAAAATGGACAGTCCATTGATCTAAATACTGCATTGATGTCTCGTAAAACGAAACAAAGGTGTTAGTGATACTTTGTTTTTCTTCTTCTGAGCAACATTTCGTCATCAAATTGCGAACTATGTGTGGAACAAATTTGTTCACGGCCTTCTGTTTGAAATTTTCCTTCAAGATTTTTACTTGAACAGTTACCTCGATTGCTGAGACCTTGTCACCTTCTACATTTGAAACAGTTTGTTGAAACGTAGCTGCTTGGCTATGTATGAAATAAAGCCATACTTCTGAATGTGGGTTTCCAAAAAACTTCCTCAGGATCTCAGGACATTTCGGCTGGTTAAGAAAGTACTCTTTAAGTGGCACAAAAAGCTTCAAAATTCTTTCAACTGCTGGCATTAAAGCAAGCCAGCGAGTCTTGCTGTATCCCAACATTTTGTGGTACAGTTGAACCTCGTTTGTGCGAACCTCGATAAAACGAATTCCTCGATAAGACAAAATTTTTTAAATCCCCTTGACACTTTCATATAGGTCAATGCTAAAAACACCTCTATACAACGTAGTAATTAAGTTAAAAAC